ACTTGCAAATTTAAATGGGAGGGCCAGTTATCAGAATACAGTGCTTCAAAAATAGTCTTTAGTAGCGAGTAGTCCCTTAGCTCCAGGATAGGTAGCCAGCCAAGATCCAAAATGGTAGATATAGTGTTTACACATTTACAAGTGACGAAACTAGCCATAGCGAACTGGAGCCTTTGTAGTCTAGCAGAGAGGATTTTTGGTAGTTGATAAAAAACAGTCACAGGAGCTTATTTTAGACAGAATTAATGTTTCCATAGTTTAAAATTAGTAAAGTTCGGTATTTTTCTTAAGGTTCTCAGAGTCGCATAACAAGATTTAAGAATAGAACTGATATGAAATTCCCATTTAAGATTCAAGTCGATGTGTACTCCCAGGAGTTTTGTAAGATTTATCCGTTCCATACTTGAAAAGCATAGGTAATGACAGTCTAAACATGTTTATTTTTCCAGAACTCCTGTCAAGTGTGGTAGCACAGTAAGATTACAACACTTGGCCACCAAACGCAATCTTCACAGTCATCACTTTCAGTCACCCATATCTCATAACCAGGAAGTGAGTGCATTTGGTGAAAATGGAGAGGGAGATGATTTGGACCACTGGTCTGTTGTTTGTCCTACAAAGTTTTGGGAGCGGCAGGATAAAATTAGATTCAAACATTCAGCTACTAAAGTGTAAGTGATATTGTAGAACCTCTGACATCCACAGTTAGCAATATAGCAATATGAAGCTCTCCTGGAAAAGTGATAGTTTTCCAATTACTTTTCCCCCGTTAACTTCCATTGGTAGATTTTCGGCTGTCAGGTATTGGTGAAACCAAGGTGAAACCATACTTTTCCCCAACCTTTGAAGGTCGGGAAAACCATGAACCACTATTACTCTTGGCAAGATATCGTCTTTTTTTCATCTGAACATTCACCAATTTTTTGTCCTCTCTGGACTTGGATTTGTTTTGATATTCAACCTTGGAATTTTCTCCTTGTGAAAACCACAGCACTCCCAACCTGGTGGGGATGTCTATCACAAAAGGATAGATAGGAAGATTACACCTAACCAGATTCTGAGAGTGTGAGGATTAATTTACTTTGCTTAGAAATACCTTTTCTCTAAGAATTTGCACTTTTGAAAAATTTTAAAATACCGCTATTTTTTTGGAAATGTAAGGTTCTAAAAGTATCCAGTAAGTAACCATAATTTGATTGGGAACAGTTTGTAGCTTGGAGTAACCTTAAACATTATGTAATACGGCATAAGCATTTGCCTTTTGAGCAAAAAATGAGTCAATCACATTCCTTATGTGCTCGTTGTTTTTTCTCTTTAGTTATTTGCAGGTAACTGGGGACCAGTTTGGCCGGCCCATCAGTGGTCAAAAGGAAATCAGTGGTTATAGTTATCCTGAAACAGGAAATGAATGGAAGGCAACGGTCAGTTCTGGTGGCTTACTTCATTCTTTTGTGTGCTTAACTTAATTTGAAGAAAATTCTCCTTTCTAGGAAACCACAAACTTGTTACACTTACAGTTTCATTCATTTCTTTTTCTGCAAAACTATCCAATCTTATTATGTCCACAACTAGTATACATTTTAGGTAAAGGTAAAGTCTGTTTACGAGCCTAGTGGCTCATTAGGCCGGTGCTTAACTCCGGTTTCTGTTGCATGAAGCGAAGTCCTAGGAGTATTTCTACTCCCCTCTGGATGGGAATGCCAGTCCATCGCAGGGTTACCCCCAGCATTAAATTGCTGGTACCCATTTATACACCTGGGTGAAGAGAGGCACTGTGAGAGTAAGTGTCTTACCTAAGAACACAACACAATGTCCCGGCCGGGGCTCGAACCCGGACCACTTGATCCGGAGTCGAGCGCACTAACCGTGAGGCCACCAAGCCTCCACAGTATACATTTTAGGTTTCTATCATTTATCCTCTTAATATTTAATATTTTTGATGAGGTAGTTTGTTTTTTAAGGGACTTTAATCTTGTGCAGTGGCTTGATGTAATGTCCTGTTTTTTTTTTTTCTTTTGTTTTGTTTTCTAGGAGGGCATTTATGTCAAACCCACCAACTGAGTGCAGACCTGTTAGATTCCAGACATTGGACTGAGTTGTACAATTGAACAGTTATGGGACAATGCCATGGTACTATTTTATAAAGTTATGGCATGGACTGACAAGGATTTTGATAAATAATTGTTAGGAAAGTTTTGTGCAAGGAATTATTTGGTATGGTTATTAAAGAGCTACTATGATGAGATCTGTTTCTACAGTAGTATGAGGCTTTTTTCCCCTGCTGGATTTCTGGCTTAGATCCAAGAAACCTGCAAGAGGTATGATAGCAGTCCCTTCCCTGCATGTGCATGAATTTGTGGAATTGACAAAAAAATATAAGAAAAAACAAATGTGTTGATATATAAGGTGAACTTATCTCAATTTGAACATAATCAGAGTTGCAAGCCGTTAAGGGTAAGCTTTGCAACTAGGATATCTATGTACTCTGTGTGGCTCTAAAATAATTTGCAGAGGTCAGAATCTTTCATTACAGCGATCCCTTTGGATACAAAAGTCACTCAGCAGTACTGGATAAATCTGTCAAAAGGAGATAAGCATCTCAACAAGTTTCATTGTGCTATATCTATTAAATCCAGATCTACTATTTAGCAGAAGAACTGGGTTTTCAAGCAGAAAATTTGTTGCGTGAACAAGATCAAACACCTTAAAGTGTTTGCTGTTGTCCAGATATTTTAAACTCTCCATTGACACATATCCTGTATGTAACAACAGACTACAAGAAATAATGTGGTTATTCCACAATCAAATATTTTGCTGTGTTAGTTGCAAAATGCCACTGCTTCAGAAAATCATTCTGTAGGACTCGATGCTTCCTTTCAAATGGAGAAGAACAAGCAAACCAATGTAACAGCATACGCAAAAGTGCAACTGTTATGATTTTTCATAAGTTACAAATGATATTTAGGGTGACGACAATGAAACTGGGTACTTGACGGTTGGACTGTTTATTTTTAATTGGAGATTGCTGCCATTACACGTAAATTAAAAGTATACACTCGTGATACAAAAAAAAATTCAGGGTTGTGAATATTTTTTAGTACGAACGAGGTTTGAGGCGAATTAATTTTCAGTAAATTACGTCATCATGCTTGAGAACTATCCAAGAGGAGTTACCCAAAACAGAATCACTCTTCACAAAAACTTGACGGAAAAAAAAAAAGAACTCAAACTATGTAGGTTGTTGTAAAATCGTTCTCTCGCTTGACATCAGAAGGTCGGAAGATATTGAAACATCTCAATGGGATAAAAATTTCAGCCTGGACTAAAACTCTCAGCTTCAGGCAACCGCTGACCTGTGTGCTGGTGAACGTTAGGTTGTAGAAAATCAAACAGATGTAAACTGGTCCTGGGTTGTCAAACTCAACACAGTAAGGCTGAGGTGCTTTTTCTGCAAGTGTTGGAGAGAAGTACGTTATTCGAGTGTATGGCTGGTGGTAGGGGATATACTTGTGCGCATATGACACTGTTCGGCTAGACCAAGATAACCTGATAATTTACAAAAACAAAACCTGGCACGCCCAAACTCCACTGAGTGGCATGCTAATATAAGACCATCCCAGTGGAAATTCCTACCTATGTTTTTTGAGAATCAATCGGTTTTGAATATGTCGATAGGCTACATTAGTTACCAAAACGTTTGAAAAGCGGCCATGTCCTTTGGGGTTTGAACTCTCTCCTCATGCTGACTGTTTCTTTAGGTCCGATAAACATACATAACCGCCAGCGATATATATGAAAACGTTATATCAAACGGTGTTTCGGAAGTGCAAAGATAAAATATTGTCTTAATCCCTACCAAAATAATTCAGCCGTGTAAAAATTATCACTGGAAACTCTATACCTGAGTACTTATCAGTGAAGCGGGGCTTTCCATCTACAGATAGGGTGAATGGTATGACCTAAAACGAGATCAACATCAAGGTTCAATTCCTTAAAGTGGCTGGTTTATTCAGATAGACGGAAATGATGTTCAATGTTAGCAGTGAAATACTGAGTTTCTTACATTCTGTGTATCCACGCCTGACACATTCACACAAACTGTGAAAATAAAATGAATTTCTTTAGACTCAGCTAATAGTTACGTAGGACCATTGTAGTCCATAACCTGTGTAGACCTGTGTAATGGGTAAAACAGGAGTGGATTACGATCTCCCATGGACTTTATCCCCGTCACAAGTCACTCTCCTACTGAAACATTTTCGCTTTATAAACACGACCGTGTGTGTTCGAAAGACCCTTGCTGTGGCTCCAGTCAATGCCCTGTCAGTTGTCCGGTTCTACTGAAATTTGTGATAAGTGCATTTGAAATATCTTACCCAACTCACTAAATCGGTAGACAGAGATGGATTGACAGCAATAAAACGACGAATTGCCGCTGTGACATTCGCAGCTATCAAAAGTTGGATTATTTGAAGTAACTGGATCTAGAACAACAAAATAGAACTTAGTCATGCAAGAGTTGATGATCATCTGAGAATACGACAAAAAGATTTTTTTCTAACCGACAGATTTCAGTGTGAAACTTGCCACCAAAGGAACAAGTATCGTGACCACGGCCAGAGGAAATTTCCCTTTCAGCAAACACATAAGGAAGAGTTTATAAACCAGTAAGGGAATTGAGAATAAAGTGATTTCGCTAAAATGACAGAGAATGACCTTTCACTGATATGTGATAGTCTCTTTCATTTTCCGTGCGTCATTTCCTGCTGGGCAAGGAGGGAATTGGGGGGGGAGGATAGCAAGTAGTGAGGAGTGAGGCCTCTGGATGCGAAAGAAGAGAAAGCAATTCAAGCTAATTTATTTCATGTCACGTAAATGATAATCATCAATACAGTAAGTAGTGTACAACGAATCGGCAAACGATGGTGTTACATTTTGGTTACTTATCATTTTATCTTTTTCACGTTTATTCTAAAACTTTGCACATTTCTTAAGTCTGTGCCTTCGTGTACCTTTATCAAGTATCGGACGTCATCAGAAGCATACCAATCAAGACATAATTTATTGCGAAGGTGAGGGTGGAAGGGTTGGAGTTTTTCAGTAAGGACGGTGCCTAATCCAGATGGTGGCTTCCCAGAGAGAACGATAGTTTTACTGCAATCATATTTGTTTGTTACTTATCTACCTCGAGAACTGAAATGAGATCCGATCTGATGGAAGGTCAGTTACACATTTTATTCAGATATTTTCTTTAGGCTTGTAACACCGCCATCAATGAGGAAAACACAAATGAGAGTGTGCATTTGAGGATATCGAGTTTTCCCTTTACTTTCCAAGTATCTAAGTAAAGAGGCTCGCATCACTTCCTTCTTTTTTATTCCATTCAGTTTATCATTAGCTAAGTTCTCTTTACTTTCACTTATAATTAGTGTTAATGTCTAGACTGCAAAGAGTCTTATTACCGATTAGAGTATCAATCTGTCTATCACACATTCATCTACCTGTTTGGTTTGACAAATCAGAATTCTAATCCACACGATTGTTGAAAAGGAAATCAAGTGGATTTTTTTTCTTTTGAAGCGACTTTGTCGTGTCTTTGCCAAGCATTTTCAGGAACCACTGCTGAGTCTTTTTCAAAATTTGATCCTTTGACTTCTTAGAGCTAAAGAGTAACAGCGAGTTTCCCTGCTTGTTCGAAGCTTTCCACTGGTCCTGGTGTTCTTGGACTGGCAGATCAAAGCAGCCAAAATCAAGAGTAAAGAGTGGTACCAGGAGATCAGCATAGATCTTCAGGCATCCACCCCACTTGCCCTCATCACCGTACGAGATGTTGTAATACTGAAGGCAGATGCACGAAATTGGGCAAACCCCTTCACAAAAAGGAGGAGGATTTCTTGCTGAAAAAAAAAGAAAAGAAGGAGTTGAATGTGAACTTCTTTGCTTCTAGTAACCTTAAACGTCTATGAAAATTCTGAGAAATCCCTCTTTGCAAAATTCGAAACTGAAAGCTTTACCATACAACTAAATGTCGTTGATCATGAACCCAAATTCTCTTGACTGACATATATGAAAATGTATGGCAGATAGAAGGGAGGATTACGAATACCACACGCTCCTGATAGTAAACCGTAAAATGAGAGTATGCGTCGTGCGGCGGCAGTGACACATATCTTACAATTGCAAAAATGAAGGCTTTATTTGACGAAAGAAATCTTCCATAGACCTTCGTAAAACGCGTAAATAGCATCATCGAACTTCCATCATGGAAATTATATAATTCCTGTTTAGGGACAGAAATGCTCCCCTCCTCTGCGTTTAAACATTAGAGTGTTCTCAATGGACGATCGTAAGCCTCACCTGAGAGGGTTTCGTTTAACAGAACCTTGTCATCTAAAGTCCCCGTAAATTCTAACGCCTAAGAAGTAAAACAAAAATACTCCACAACTCAGTCAATCATCAGGGACAACAAAAATGCCGCACCTGACCTAGTGTGGAGACTACTGAAATCAGTCAGTTCATGAACGAGCTCGTCCATAGTCTGGGTTTGGTTCGTAGAAGACAAGCGAATTTTTTCATTACCTTCACTAACACGAAAGCTAAAGGACATTTCAAATGTTGAAATATACATCTAGTGTTTTTAATTTCCCCACTAGCCTTACAGGTTATCTCGCAAACAGAATGAATCTACAATGCAGTATCATGACTTACTTTTTCCCCCGCTAAATATGTCATGTTCATACAGGCTACAACAAGAACAAAACACACTTTATCAATGACCACATTTTTCTGTAACGTAGAAATCCTCAGCAAAATATTTTCTTTAGTCGTGTTCTCTCGGAATGAACTCTACCTACTTTTCAATTCCCACGGTTGGATCGCAAATGAAAGTTTTGACTGAGACGCACGGAATAACTTCTCAATCAGAATTTCGTAACAAGTACCAGTATGTAATTTGTGGCAGATTACTTATGGGTGGAAAATTTAGTGGTAGATAATGTTAAAATGTTTAAATGATCTTGAACTCGAACTCGCAACTAAACTGAGCAAATCAGTAAAGTGGCAATCGGTCAATTGTCAGTTTATTGGTTTCACTAGAGATTCACATTTGGTTTATTCCATTCATTCTTTTTCTTTCAGTATCAAGGCCAACTTTCTTCTTGTAATAAGCTGCTTACCTGAGTGTTCTTTTTGTTGAAAATCAAATTTTTGGCAGCAGCCACACTGTGTAGTCGGTTCTTTGGTGCATCCACAGGCATCATCATCAACCCCAGGATCTTGCACTGCAGAAAATGAGTTCATTCCATCATCAATACTGAAGCAGTAAGGAGTCATGCTACGGGGAATGGGCGGTTATCAACAGCTGAAGGGACTGGGGACTGAAACTCCAATTTAACTTTGAAAGGAGAGAAGTACAGAAGGATTTCCTTCACTTTCTACACGGTAATCTTAGATAACTGCAGTTTGCAAATTTTTTTTGCCATGCATTAAAGTTTTCTTCGCGGCGAAAACCAACATAAAATGAAATGAACAATTTGACAATTAAAGCTAGGATTTAGACTATGCCAGCCAAATACTCCTCGTCTCAAAGAGCAATTAAATGTCTGGGTAAACAACTATTTGTTCCCTCAAATGATTTCATGCCATATGGCCATGTCACGACCGCTAACGAAATAACGGACAATCTGGCTACCTTACCTACTGTCTTCAACTGACCAACATCAACAGCAATACTCGACTGAGAAAATCCAGTCAGAAAAAAAGCGAGCAGCAAGGACACGAACATCATGACAGAAAATCTAGAAGAGTTCCTCTGCATTTGGTATGTCACGCGCTTTAATCTGCTTCACATGATCCCCTGGTCTTATACTCTGTGTGGTTTCGAATTACAGGTCATACCGGGGGAACTGTAATGTGCTTAAGGGGAGAGGGGGTGAAATGGAAGATGTACGCCACAGTCGGAAGATTTTAATCTCAAAACAAGTGATCCAGATTTTCAAACATTTATAACGGTGATACGGCATAAAAATAAGAGAGTCTTCCTTCAAGATGATGGAGAGTTCAACTTTTGAAAAGACTCGTGTACGCGTCGAAATTTGTTTCCTTTCAGGTCGATAAATCATAACACATGAAAACTCCCCGCAGGAGAGTGTAAGGGCTATTTTGTAAAATAAACAGGTTTTCTTGTTTGCCTTTGAACGTCACCTGAAGACCGTCATTTCAACTTCACAGGACGAAGGGCATGGAAACACTCGCACGTCGCACGGGTAACGAGTCAACTAGCATTTCTATAAAGGTGGCAGCCAAAGCAAAACTTTGGGCAGCTTACAGATTCATTGCCAAATAAAACAGTCTTTCACTGCATGTGTCAACCGTTGAAAAGTTGTGGAGTATCGCAGTAAATGAGCAACGTGGCGCAAAATGCCGAAAGGGTAACGAACTGCTCTTGTCGATGTCGACGCAAAAATCGTAAAATCGAAGGACTTGGAAGAAAAGAATTTGTACAGTGGTCAATTTATAGGCCGGAGACGGGGCAGGAAATGAAAAGAAGAGGTACATGTCCCAATTTACATCAAATGGTTTTTATTACAAAACTTCGCCACTTCGTACGCTTTACGAAGCTCCTCTCGAGCTCAAAGGTGTCAGATTCGAGCCGTGGACGCATCAACTTTTTTTTCTTACTCCTTTTTTTCTTTTCAATTTACATTAAGACAGTTTTTATGCTTTTAAGTTCAAATGGATAACAATCTCGAAATACAGAGGTGAGACTCTGAAAAATAATCGAACTATACCCAACGAAACCAGAAAGGAATCCGAAAAAACCCGATCAAACATGTTCAACGAGCTGGATGAGTCGCCTTAGTACGCCATTTTGAGGACCACGGGGGGCCTGGGGGAAGGTTTGCAGACCACGGGGGGCCTGGGGGAAGGTTTGCAGACTTAATTACACCTTTAACCAAGAGGGAAGGTACAAAAATGGAGGGCTATATAAACAGATATGGACAAAAGTACTGTCGACTATTTTTAACTCTTGATGTTTTGATTTATTATTTTGCCTACATTACAAGCGTGACAAGCTGTTCCCTAATTCTCAGGATTCAGTTGAAATATTTGCCTTGATCTGTATAACTGAAATTCTACTCTTTATCATGAGCAGTTTTTTTTTCTCCTCAGTCACACGAAATGAGAAGATCCAAAGAGTAAGTGTTAAGCGTGGAATGAAAAATTTAGACAACTTTCCACTAAAATTCTTCCCTGAGCGATTTTATAACAGTAGAAAATTGCAACTCATAACTTTTGAATGAACCCAAAGCACAAAATCAACCACTCCTGTTTTTCGTGATTTCGCTTAAACAGACTGGAGCGAATCTTATTGCTTAGCCTGCGTCCTGCTTTTACGGAGCTCCCAAACAGATGAAATATTCTTGGTGGTTTCTTGATTTCAAGACATCCGCTGGTTCGCGCACAAGAATTTACAGCTGAGAAGGCATGCTTGTTGGTGTAGACAATGGCTTGTCTTCCCAAAGGATTTTCCCATCACATGCGCAGTATTTTTTGGTGTTCTGGAAAAGTCCAGCTGATCTGGCGATGATTCCACAAGATAATCTGTGGAAAGTTGTATTAGACACCCATTAACATTTCACACCCTTAGAACAGCATCCATATTCTCCATACTCTACAATATACATTTTCTTTAGTATTAACAAGGAGAATTTGTTTAACAGTCAAAGATTCTCAGGTTGAAGACCTTTATACTCATGATCTTAATGAATGATTTAGCAGTGTCATTTTAAAAGGAGAAATTAGATGGTGGTCCTCTTAGGGGTTTCACGGGTTAAGAGGTTGTCGGAAATGCGTGTTCTCTGAGCTCGCTGAGGTGACTTTGTTATAAGAATTAGATCCGTATAAATATGATAAACGCCTGCTGAAATGTTTATCAGTGCGGTCTGTTGAAGCTGTCGTTACAAGGGGACAATCTTCAGAGCAGTAAAGCAGCAAAAGAACCAAATCCTATCCCAGTTAGCCACATCCAAACATGTGAGGCATTGCTATTACGACGTCAGTTAACGAACTGTACTTCAAAGCCCCCCTTCGCGAGGTGGTAAGATTTAAAACTTACTATTGCTAAATAAATCATTTGTTTCTTGAATAGGGGGGGGGGGTACCATGCCAGATTTTTTATCAATCATTCACAACGATTCCCCGATATTCTTTGTTCAAATGAGCCAAAGAGGGCAGTAGTTTATATGACGATGTTATGAGGAATTTCAACATCATTTTTGTGGTTTCGACTTACAGGAACGACTGAAAGCGTAAAACTTGAGTGCAAAAAGACTTGGAGAAAAAAAATGGACAGGGCGCTCACACCGCTCGCGACTGATCAAAATGCGAATTCGTTTGAGATCCGAACGCCCTGTTCTTTTCAGCTACAGCCAGAAGCATGCAGCATGTCATAAAACAAACCTTACAACCTGGAAGTTCAGTTCGCGTTCTTTATATCGACTATGCTATTTCGGTTCAAATCTCACCCAGGGCCGGAATTTCCAGTTATCTTCGAGAGTTCATCACTACCACGCCCAAGATCGTCTTCACCCTGATGCACGACAAGTGAGCGGCCAATTACATCCCAAACCTGCAGGGAAGGACAAAATAAATGATTCAACTGTCCTTACTCAAGCAACAGAACCTTTGTAACAATTCCCGTTTACGCTTTGATTATCTTTACGACATGAAGCTTTTAAGCTTTTGCTTTTTCAGCATTAAAATGTTGAATAATTTGTCTGGCTGAAACCTTACAAATTTTACTAGAACCTGAAAATGATCTCAGAGGGGTTCAAACATTGTTCTTTAATATCAATTATTTGTATTACAAAGTCTACATCAAAGAAACTTCTTTTTAAGAAACCTTGAACTCTCAAAATTTCGTGTTTGTAGGTAATCATAAATATCAACCAGGCAGATTTAGCAGATGATAACTGATTAAAAAGATGTATTCATTTCATCTTGGAATATCTTTGTTTCATGGACACCTCAAAAAACTGAAAAAAATAGTGTTAATTGTAAACAGACTTTGATCTTAGTGATGATTGCACATTGTTAATTTCACTTCACATTTGTGAGACATTCAGTTGTTCGTGTAATTTGTGCTGTGTGTATCAAACAATTAAAGATGAGTTTACTCTTAAAACGTTGCTCTTTTTTTAAACACAACAAAAAAACAAAAAAAACAAAAAAAAGAAAGAAAAAAATAACAGCTGTACAAATATTGTTTTAACTGAAGGAGTATAAGTACATAATTTAGGAACAGTTTACAAGGATTTACTTACCTTGATATTTTTGTCTTCTATTCTGAAAGAAGCTCTGCCATTTTTGTCGGCTGAAATGTTGCCAAGGTCACCCACATGCTTCAATAGGCAACATATAACTACATCAGCCAAGAATAATCATCAATAACTTAATGTATGAATGAATTAGAGACCTTATTTATACATGGTTATCAACATCAAAGATTGAGTTTGGGAGGGCATACTCAGATCAATTCTACAGTACTTGAAATCAAGCTTCTGCCACTTAGGTTGGCTGACAAGTTTTTAAGCTTGAGTATGGTGAAGTTTAATACTTAATTCTGTTTGTTAGCTGTACAAAGTAAGAATAATAAGAAAAAAATTACTGACAGGGGACAAATGATGATGTGCCCATGATAGATTTTACACTTGTACCATCTTCCACTCACCAACTGGGTATGTACTTAACAACTAAACTAAATTAAAACTCATGGTCACCACAATACATTTGCCACACCCTACATACTGAAAGGATGGACTTTCTAACGGTGGTGGATGTGACAGAATGAAATCTTCCTGAAATTACTGAAAATAATAAACATACTCTCTCATTGTCCTCTGGTGCTCCATGTTGACAGTTTTGGGGATTATAATGATCACCAGTACTAAGGAGAAAGAAGTATCTTTTACCATACATTGAACAGGGCTCAACACTGACAGTAGCCAACTAGCCACAGACTAGTAGAAATTCAGTTTTGGCCAGTGGTTTTCAATTTCCACCAGCCAGTTTAGCTAGTAAACAAACTGAAATTGTTGTAACATCTAAGTCATCACTAGACACTTGGCTAGTAAGTTGAAAAGTTAGTGTTGAGCCCTGACTGAATAATTAAAACAGTCTGGATAACCGATTAATTGTGTTGTTTGTGGAGTTCATCTTGAATTTTTAGCAGTATCCACACTCTTCCTGGATGGAATGGTAGTCCATCATAAGTTACCCGGCCCTCTGGCTGGTTCTCCAGGTTTCCCAGACAACTTATTTACCCTTGAACTCCTCAGAGTGACTGACTGGTAATTTCTTTTTACAGTATCACCTCTGACTCAAACATAGAGGTTGTAAGAATAAACGAAATGATCACCAATTTCAGAAGCTCCTGATGGTCAAACAAATTCTCTTTATCAGTGCCACAGGAAATATAAAGAGAATAGTGTGGAGAATATGAATTTAATAATGTTAAGGTGTAAAGGGTCGAGAATGAAACTGGTCTGCACTCCTTGGTGGAGAGAGGTAACTCTAAGAGTACAGACAAATAACACAAAATGATAACAATAGCCAGGGCTCACACCTACACCTTTGACCTCTTAAGAGTGCCTGATATTTAATTTCTTCTTTCTACATCACCCCTCAATCAAACATTAAGGTCACAAGAATAAAGAAAATTATCACCAATTAAAGAAAGTCTAGAACAAGTTCTCCTTGTAAGCACCTTTGGAAATGTATAGGGAACAGTATGGAGAATATGCATATTGATGTTAGGGTGTAGAGTTAATCAAGATAACACCTAGCAAACCATCTGGCTAGCGATGCTCACATCATTTTACAATTTCTTCTTAGTATTTGACAAAATTTATGTAAATAACAAAAATGTAGTAATCAGTCAAGGAGTTGACCAATGTCATAGACAACTTGTCACTAACCTTGTGCATCCCAGAGACAGATCTCCTAATTCATGAATATTTAGCCCATGAAGTCCAGGAGAAAGTCCATCAATTGTGCCATCAATCACACACAGATCCTCAGATACCTACAAATCAGAACATTAATGGCCAAAATATTAATCAGTTGAAATCATCAACTCTTCCTTTCCCTGGGGAAATACCATGAACAATCTTTGTTTGTGAGAAATAATCTACTTCCTGAAAGAACAGAATTTCTATCTGTTGTAAGGACAATTATAAAAAAAATGAGTTTCCCATGTAAATTGGAAATGATAGAACACAAATGAGCCTAAAGGCAATGCTGTTAGGCTATTTGCTTTAATAGCCTTTTCATCCAAAAGTGCAGTAAGATACCTGAACAAATCTGGTGACACCCTTAACAATTCCACTGCGCATCTCCACAACAGCAGCCCCTAAATGCTTCAGATCACTCCCTGTTTGGAATAAAATAATACCTGTTTGTCATATACACCTGACAAAGAAGCTGGTAGTTGATAGGTCGCAATAAAAAAACAATTATTACATAGGGCTCATCTTGTCCTGCTCAGGATTGTCACACATGAAAAAAATTCAATTAAGTTCTAATTCTTGGGCAATGTCAGTGATGGAGATGTAAAAAGAGGCAGAAAACAGTCAAAAGAAAGAAAACATAAACAACTTCTGTGACTTTATTTTGTTACAAACACATTTGGCTTTCTACTCTGTCTCTTGAAGTGGACATGTCAGGTCATTCTTAATTCATAATAAAGCTAAATCTTCTTGCAGTAGAATAAATCCCTAATATTGACCAAGCTTCTTCAGTCAGGATAGCTGGATATTTGCTGCATTTTTTCTTGGCATTTTTGTGGACCCCCACTTTGTCTTGGTCTAAAATAAATAAGTTGGCCAATATCCAGCCATGTTGACCCCACGCTTGTTCAAAAATGCATAAGTATATTTACAATGGCAACAATGATGATAATGACAACATATGGGAAGAAGGTATGGAGTGTAAAGGAGAAGGACAATGATAACAGGACTAACAATGAGCAGTAATGAGGCTAATGCAATGGATGAGAGTAATGAGAAGAAGCATGAAGTCAATAAGGACAATGTGATGATCATGAAGACAGAGATGGTAAAGGTGAATAAGTTGTCTCACAAATTATATAATTACTGTCACAATTGAGTATCTCAACAGGAAGGTTGATGATGATGGGTGATAACGATTATGAAGCTTGTAGTGACGATAGTGATAGGGATTGTGATGAGTGTGATGACAAGAAAGTTGTTTCTAAGAGACAGTTTGAGGCATGACGTTAAGGAAGTGGATTTTCTGTTTGATAGACTAGGAGGGTTTATAGCTAATCAAGTTCAGCAAAGAGAGGATATGATCAACTACAGTGTATAGGTTACTGCACTTCTAGGGATGGAAAGCTGTACCGTCATTAGTACATGACTCTGTGATGTTTATTACTTGGTGCTGTGTATACTTACCTGCTGGACCCATTCCACGTAAGATAGCTGTGCGTCCTGAGCTCTGTAATAGATTCTGGACTTGTCCTGTTGACAGAGTTGTCTCTAAAATCACTTGCTCTGAGTTCAGATCCACTGTGAATGATTTGATACCTAGAGAAAACTACTTTCCATCAGTTACACCTTCTACTGCATTAATTTTTACTCGTTATTTTTATGATATATTCAGGGGTTTTGATTGTCCTTAATATGAACACTTTAACAAAAATGGTCATACTATACAGCTGTCTTGATAGAATTAAAAGAATCCAAACTAGTATTTTTATTTTAAAACAAAGTTAAGTCTTGTTCGACAATTTCAAAAGCCCAACAAATAATAAAAAAATTGTATCAGTAATTAATATATTAACAAAAATCTGGTTAAATCTCACAAGTTTACTTGCTCCTTGCTGCCAAAACTAGTCACAGTCCTCAAAGTTAAAGGCAACTAGCAATACAATCAGGGATTGTATACTGGTTTACTGCAACAATGTTCCAAGACTTTGTCACAGGTTTTCCTGAAAGTTTAACTGCAACCATTCGAACTAGTGGTTGGGGTATGGTATCAAAGGTGTAAAGAGTCTTGCACCAGAACACAGTAATAACAATTGAAGCCTCTTGATTACTTTAGTTAACATTGCAGTCAATGTCTCCAAATAAGAAAAAAAAACCTTTCCCATCATAACTTGAAGGATTCTTTAAAATCAACAAAATAATTCAAATTTTTCCACAGATTAACAAACCTTCAGCACCATGAAGCGAATTGTGAATTGCATCTACACAATTCTTACATGTCATCTGTACGGCAAACTCCATCTACAAAATTAATACAACTTACCATTGGCTCGTGGTATTGAATATAATTTGAGCGCTGGGAGAATCTGGGGCAAAATTCAAGGCGGCGCGGCACTGTACACCTGAAATTCTTACTAAAAATTTTATTGCAATCATTGCCGCAAACAAGAAGTCACAACATTTAGAAGGATAATCATAACCCTTGGACATGTACTGTAATTCACTTGTCACATTTCTTCAAACAGTCCAATTCAAATAAATAACACATGAAAAATATGATAACAATAAAAATAATATAAAGGATGGCTATGTGAAAGAGTGCTGAACAAACTCTTGGTGAGGTAGTAAACCAGAGAATAAAATACATCTGATACATTAATTACAAAATGACCTAACTAGAGAAGTAACCTTGGTTGTTGTTGAGTTAGAAGCCATCTTGAAATTGCTGCGTACCAATGAGCCTGGGACGGCTATGTCACTCTGGAGACGAGGCTTGTAATTAAGCCCGGGAAAAAGGAATATGGCGGCCAAGGAAGAAGACGTGAAAGCCCAACCGTTGGTGATATTTTATGATAGTGAAGCCGCTAATGGAAATGTTTACTGTGGTGATATCATAGAAATTGCAGCAAAGTGCCATCCTGATGTTGTGAAAGGGTCTTTTCGGTCGTTGATAAACACCAAACAACCCCTGTGTGCCTTCGGTAAGTGAGCGTTGTTATAATTATGCGCATCTTGCATAATATTTATACGGAAAAATCTACACTGTCAGCAATTTTGTGCCCATTGTGGCACTGCTGTATTTGAGTAAAAGGCAACGTTCCAAGATTTTCTCTGAAGTTTTTGCGCAGACCGGAAAAGAGCCAAAGATTCTAAGAAATGGGAAGGCGTTTAATAATTTGTCAAGAATAACAGCGCGTGCGAAGACGCGCATTGGGGTGATTCGACGTAATTCAAATTATTTCCTAACTTTCATTCAATTTTCATCAGAAATTTCACTTTAAGCAAAATCTTAAGACACTTTAGCCTCCCTCTTAAGAAACTGTCCCCTTAGAAACTGTCTCAAACTCATTCAGGATTTACAGTGTGTTGGCATTTCCGGCATGTAAATCGCCAACGCCATATACACGGCTGGCTTCGTTATGTCTTCACGAACAAGTTTCAGTCCTTTTGTTCGACACTGGTTCCTTTTTTCTTGGTCTCTGCATTCTCTTTGCGCGGTCCTATCACTTTTTGATTAAAAAGGTGATACGATTTTAAGATTTGTTGCGGGTGCAGCGAATCTTTTTTTGTTAATGTTTTTTTTTTTTAAATTCCGTGGAAGAGTGCATTACGAAATTAATTATTAGTCAGCCAACTTTGCTTTAATTAACTAATTGATTTGGAACAAAATGACTTAAAAATTCCTTTATTCTCAAGTTGTTGTTGCACTTCTACATACTACCAACAAAAATCTGAGCTTCTTCTCAATTTTGAAGCAAAAGACTAGAAGTTATTAAATTTAAGCCAAATTGACAAGAAGAAACGAAGTCTGAAAACACCAACTTGGGTTTTTAGTGGTGGTTATCTTAAAGAGTTCAATATAGTTTGTTCAAAATTTCAAAATTAGCATTGTGTATTGAGAGGGTAGCCAAATCGAGGCGCACTACAGAAGGCATTTACATGTAGATATCAATATCTGATACAGTATTTCTTTTGTAACAAATAAAATACTTAAGTTTTTAATCTCTTTACTCCTAAGATCTCATTTTTAATTCTCCTTATTGCATGACACACAGTTCAATTTGATTTTGAAACAACTCTAAATTCCCTAATTGATATTTTTCTTTATTCTCATCACTTGTCTTCTTGATATTATTTAGATATTATAAGGAGAAATTCTGTCCTGATCACTCACAGGAGTTAAGGGGTACACCTGAGTTTGTTAACTTAAGCTACAGCTTTAGTATACAATACATTTCATCCTTTGATATAATGCATCCTTTTTGGTTGAAAGGGCATGTTCCATTAGAGTACAAAACACAGAGCTAAGCCAAAGGTGTTACTAGACTACTTCTCATATTTTCTCCCTACACTTCCTTTGTGCTCCAGCTGCTTCCTGCATGCTTTACAACAGAGCACAACACAGTCAAGGCTTCTACATTTGTTAAATTGAATGTAGTGGCGAGATAAAAATTTGATGTTTGCAACAGTCAGAACTGAAATGAATAAAGGATGAAAGTTTCCAAAGAAACTGTGGTGCTGCATTGGTGGGGGTAACAAGGTAATTTGGTTGTATCAACTAGGTTGAAATTGTAAATTGGCCGCTATAACAAGTTAAAATGCTGATATTTTGAGCATGAGCCCTTCATCAGAGCGAATGATGAAGGGCTAATGCTCGAAATGTCAGCTTTTTAACTTGTTACAGTGGCCAATTTACATTTTCAACCTAGTTGATACAACCAAAGAAATGAAATAGGTTAGCAGGTACATTTTAGTATTTGCACTTACACTTCAACCCTTTAAATTCCATAAGTGATTAAGACATGATTTCTCCTTACAATATTGAACAATTCGCCAAAGTGGGAGTGGATAGTGGTGGATATTTCTGGAGTCACAGTATATACATGTACCACATAGGTAATGAAAAATAAGTTTATTTCTTCCAATATACCAAAAGATGGTGGGAAATTAAACTCTCAACATGTAATTTTGTTTCATCGGGTGCTCAGAGGTGAGTACTACTGGCTATTTACTTGCAAAGTAGCCAATTGGTGCATGCAAAAAGCACTTTTCACTTGTGTGGTAGATAACAACAATATTTATAGAATACTACATGGGAAGTCTGTCTGATTGTTATATTAGTATTGGAAATCAAAGGAGTGAGTGCAACAAACAAGGGAGATTTCTGATACTAATGAATGAGTGCATAAATAACACTGTACAGACAGACTTTCCATGATGTATTATGTTTATTACATTTACATACCGAGACTCAATTCTTGTTTAATGACGATTTGATGTTCAAATTCAAGTGAAAGGCTCATAGATCAATTGTGTAAACTGCACAAATTGCCTTTCCAATAGTTTTACTTTGGGTACCCAGTGTACTCACTGGGTAATAAGAGATTAGGTTTTTGAAATCTTAAGTTTAATAAGTTAATATGCTCTTTAAGCTGTGAAAGGGAAGGATAATGTAGAAAGAAAGAAAAAAAAAATTAAAGTTTTTTTGTTACTATAGTCCTTTTATTTAAGTGTCTGAACTATTTGCATCTCTTATTATGTACTCATCATGTCTAGCTGCAAGAGATTGTGGTCTGTCACAGGATGATTTGAGAAACAAGCCGTACTTCAGGGAGGTTTTTCAAAAATTTCTCTTTTGGATAGATGGCATGGTGAAATCAGCCAGAAAGAAACATGGGAAGCAGTTTTTGCCAGGTAAAGTTAAGTACTTGATACAGTGGTTCTTGGGTTAGAAGCAAACTTGGTAGTTTTCTCTTTTTGATTAAATTTAAATGTTTATTTTGTCAGAGGCTTTGCTAAAGGGCAGTTTCGAAAAAACGGAACTGCTTCCTGAACATACACTCCTTTTGTGAAGGTTGTTCTTTTCAAAACAGAGACAGTGTCCGGTTCTAGTTTTTGCTGTCCAATAAAGAGAAATTTGGCTGTAGTGTCTATATAGCCCAATAAATGCAGATGGTAATTGTATCCCTAAAACTGATTACTAATACCATTTCTATTTTTGTTATTCAGTGTTGTGTGCACACCATGGCTATCAATTTGACTTCTTGATTTTGCTGAACAACATGGAGAGGTTCGGAATACATCACTCAGTTTTGACCCAGCTCAATATTCATTTTGCAGATAGTTTGGTTTTCTGTCATGAGGTTGGTGGAGGTTTTGTTTGCAAAAGTTGAGTAAACTAGCTTTGAATCAGCTACACTGTAGTAAAAACAAGTCTGCTTGTACATTGTTTATAATCCAGCAAATATTCTTGTTAACATGCAATTGGTTGAAATGCATTATGTGACTGAATATCCCCCAACTAAAACTAGGGGATGTCTGAAGATATACTCTTAGTGATATTCCCCAATTTTCAATCCTTACGGAAAACTCTGTATTTAAAATTTAATTCAAAATGAGAAGTGTTGTGTGGTTGGTACAAAAGAAGAACCATGTTTGTTTTGTTCATAAAATTTGAAAATGGAACATCACATGCTGTAAACAGTGAGCTGTTCCTAAACATTTTCCCTGCTTGTTGAAAAATATTTGAAGGATAGTAAACACAATAGGCTCCATTTGGTGCAAAAATATGCACTAATATTTATCCCATCTGTTCTGAGATGCAAACAGTTTTGTGAGAGCAAATCTCAAGGAAAACTGAGAGCTTTGAGGATTGTTTTTTTGTATTTTGTACTTTTTGTCATGCAGTACCACATGCCAAAACAAAGGAATGTAAAACTTGAACTACAGTTAGAATAGAAATGAACCAAAACATATACACATAAATTGTGGTTCAAAATTTTTACTGAATCTGTTGTTTTGGTTGATGAGACCTGTGGGTGTCTTGATATTGATGAAGAATACTTTGTAAAATTATTTAACATGAACTTTTGAAACCTAAAGTTATTACTTTGGGAATGGTTCCATTTTGTATCAACCTGAAATGGCAGGTACCTATAAATTGTAACGAGTTGCAATAACTTAATATATTTGCCCAGTGAGGTTGCAAGTTCTGATAGGAAGAGTGTCCTACCCTACCCATCCCAATAGATGCCTTTGCATGCATAAAATATTTCTGATTTGTTTGGACACCTTTGACCACTACATTATAAGTATATATTCCTTTGCTCTTTATTTATTTATTTATTTATTTATTCATTTATTTTCCATGAAAATGTTATCATGATGATATTGAAAGGTTATGTATAGAAATGAATCAAAAGCTTCAGTATTGTTTTAGGAAGATGTGATGGAAAATGTTGACTTTTACATCTCTCTAAAACACCCCTTTTGTTTAGCTGAAAGACAATGGGGAGAAGTTGCTGGCCAACACAAGACTGTCCCTTGAAGCACTGCATAAGAAATTCTTTCCAAAGAAAATTTTCAAAGGTAACTGATGTTACAGGAGTTGTGATGTTTGTAAGCTCAGTATTCTCAGGACTATTTTTGAGCAAGCGGTAAATTCAGAGGATGACCAACTGAATTAACCCTTGCATGGGGATGCTGATGTGTTTCAACCCATCATTACTGTTCAGATTTTACTATTTGGTAATCTCTTTTATCAGACTGGAGTATGTTGAAATCTCTTTTTAACAGACTGTGGATTAATTTGAAATCTCTTTTAACAGACTGTGGACTAATTTGAAAGCTCTTTTTGACAGACTGGAGTAATTTGAAATCTCTTTTTAACAGACTGTGGACTAATTTAAAAGCTCTTTTTAACAGACTGTGGACTAACTTGAAACTGTGTTTTGAAATTGTTACTTCCTGCTTTCCTCCTTTTGTAACATACCGGTAGTCTAACTTTTGTAGGCCTCTACTGAGTAGTGCACCTAACTAGCTTTTTGAAACATTTTTCATGTAACAAAACAGTTGGAACTGGTGTAAGAAAAAATAGAACTATATCCCCTATTTTATTGGACTTCATACTTTTTCCCTGCATTTGTGTTGTTAACCAGCCAATTAAATTCCTTACTCTATTTGTATTTGAATGCACTTTTTTCTGACTTTTTAAAGCTTTTTTTAACTCAGAATCTCTACAATCAATGTCAGAGAATAAGCTTACAGTAAGAAATGTATTTCAGTAAACCACCATTTTGGCTTTTCAGACAGACACAGAGCCATGGGTGATGTAGATGGAATGGTTAAGATCTTCACACAGACACCACTTCGAAAACTACTTCACCTCATGAAGTATTCATCTACCAAAGAAAGGTTTGTACTCTGCTAAGCAGTTTCTTGGGATTGTGGTAAGAAAATGAGAATGAGAACATTCTTATGGAGGTAATTATTAAGAATTGGACCGTCCAAAGATGAAAAGCTCAGATTATGTGAAGGGAAATCAAGCTAGTGTCGTTCTTCACTAACTCTTTCACTAGCCATGTGCTCTTACAGTCAGTTTTATGTTGGTTTTGTCTCTACTCCTAGGACAAGTCTACTTACATATAGTGTGACACACTTATCTCGAGTACTTGTCAATTGGAGAAAGTAGCTTCATTGTTGAATTTCGAGTTCATTTGAGAGAAAAATGTTCTAACGACTTAAGCATTGGTTGAGTCTCATTACTAAGTTATTAGCAATTTTTTTTAATATACATGCGTTAACGACCGAGCGTGAAGTCAAGATGGCTGGCTATCGACAGTTCTTTTTTATGGGTTTTTAGGGACCGTGACGAAGTCGTGGTCCATAAAAACGCAAAAAAAGAAAGAACAAGGTTAATATCCAGCCATCTTGACCGGACAAGCTTGATCAATAAGGGATTTATTATATAGCAAAAAATTTGTCGAAATAATAAGAACCAAGAATGACTTGTTTATTTCGAGAGCCGGAAAAGAAATCTAATGTGTTTGTAGCGCCGTTTGATGTTTTTTTTTCGTTTTATTTGCTCATCGCTTTTTCGTGACTCATACGAACTTTGTTAATCTGCTCCACGCAATCCTTTTTTCCGCGGGATCAAGACGGGCGATCCCGAGCGGGCCCGTCTTGCCTGCTCGGGTAGCCAATCAGAACACAGAATTCGCTTTGTATTGCCCACGCGCTGCCTCCGTGTAATAAATATGCGTTATTAGCCAAGCGTAAGGCCAAGATGGCTGAATATTGGCCGAGTTCTTTTTTCGCATTTTTATGGATAAAAATGCGAAAAAAGAACGAGGTTAATATCCAGCCATCTTGACCACATAAGCATGGTTAATAAAGGATTTATTATATTAAAAAAAGATTTCGCTTTATCAAAAATTATGAATGATTTGTTTTACTTCGAGAGCCGGGAAAGAAAGCCAACCGTGTTTGTAGCACAACGAACTCGAGAGTCGTTTCTGCTTTCTTTGTTTTGACTGTCTTCTGCCGCTATTTGCGTTTCCATCGCCGAAATTGTCCAAGAATTACGAACGTAGTTCAGTGAGGGCAATCCCGAGCGGGCAAGATGGGCTCATCTTGCCCCCTCGGGTAGCCAATCAGAACACAGGATTCCCTTCATCTGGCCCACGGACGCTGCGAGCGATATAATGAATCGTTTTGAAGCAACGAAAATAATGTGGATTCTGAAAAATACTTCTCGAAATTGGTTACATATATAGGTTCCTTGCTTTGAAGTTGGTTTTGGTTTGGTCTCGAATTGGAGTCAGACGTGATGTTGATTTCCGGTATTAAGGAAATATTGACATTTTGTTTATGTTTGTAGATTGGAGTATTACATCTCTCAGTGTGGAAGAAAACAGCAAAGAGCCATTTTAGAAGGTTGGTGAATTGTGCTTGCGTCAATTAGCGAGTGATATGGATTCAAAAGTTTCGATTTTAGGGCGGAAGGGGTAGGGTTTGCCTTAATTATCAATATTCACATTTACACAAGGTGTACACGGACATCTAAGGCTGGTGATCTATCGTGTGGTTGCAATGAGTACAGTAGCTTTGTTTTCATCGCGTACAGACTTTCAAACTGCATTTACTGCGCAGTTATAGAACCAATGAGTAATCTTTTCTTTTTCTTTTTACTACAGAGAAACTGTGCAAGCTGGATGCGTGCAGTAAGAATATGTCAATAAAGAAACTCTTAAAGGAGGGAGTTACGTACAATTCTCTCAGAAGAATCTTTGAAGACTGCTGCTCTTTTATGGATTTTTTTGAAGTCATGAAAACCTATGGTATTGAAAGGAAAGTGTCGAAGGTTATGGCATTGCATTTTGGTGGACTTGGGCTTCAAAACCAAGGCCTAACAGCGTACTCGTACTTCTATGAAGAGAAACCAAACCAAGCGAGTGCAGAAAGTCGCAATGCTGAAAGTAAACCACAGCCAAACGTGGTCAGTGTGAAAACCCCAGAAGATGACAGGTTATCCGAAAAAGATGATGGTACTGAGGACTGGGAGAGAGACTTAGTAAGAGCTGCACCTCGAAGTAACTTCACCCTTAAATGCAATACTCCTGCTCCTCTGAGCCTTGATCTTGACGACTTATATTATGCTCATTCAGAGAAGAAAATAGGAGTTGAATCCCTAAAAGGGAAATTGAAGTCTGAGATAACTAATTCTTCGCGCAAATCTGAAGGAGAACTTTCCCTGTCTGAGAGTAAAAATGTTGAAGTCGTTAGTAACAGTTCACGGGGAAAAAGCCCAGGAGCTCACACCAGGAAGGGTTCTTCTGACTCAGCACCTCATGCACCGAAGCAGAGAGGTGAAAAGACTGTCAAACGGAGAAAATCTTTCGGAAATAATAAAGCAGACGGCATGCTTTTCAAGGAAGTCACCTTTTCAGAAAAAGACAACAAAAGAGAAGTTACACCGATGCAGTCCAAACCAATTAATCCTCCCAGAAGTGATAACTATGTTAAAAATAACAAACCGTCCCTCCGCTGTTCGTATTCTAATGAACATAAACCAGAGACTGAACTAAAAGAGCAACCTTTTGATAGATGTCGCTCCCTTACTGAATGTTCAGAAGCAAAGTTACAGCCTACGGAAATTTCCGACGCAAAAAGCGATCCATCCACAGCAAACCTGGAGCAGAAATTCGCTAGTGTTCTCATAGGAGACATTACTATTCTTGTTCCGTTTGAGTACGATGGGGAAGATTGTGATTCTAATGTAACTGCTGCAAGTGACCCTGAAGCACATACTCAAGAGAAGAGCAGAGAACTGAGTTCGACACAAGAAAGCCGAGTCGTTGACAGTGCACCTGTAGTCCAATCAGTGCAAGGGCTGCTTGAAACACACGTTGGAGACCTGACTGAAGAAGATAGTTTTGATCCTAACGAGGTAATAACGTCGTTACATCAGAATTGCGAATTACCTCCTGATAATTCGATGATGACTGTCGCACCGAATTTCCCCTCTGAAAATGGTCAGTCTCTTCCAAAATCATCTGAAAGTGCTCATGAAACATGCTCTGAAAAACAACTTGAATCGTGTAACGAAACTACCCTGAAATCCAGTTTTGTGGTATCTGGTGTTCGGTCTGGCAGAGACACTTGTCATGCACTCCCATCATCCTTGGACTTTGACCAGTCCCCTGAAAATGCCTTGGTACAAGATCAAGTGACTTGCGTTGGAGAAGAGAAAGCAAATGTTAGCATTGATTTACAAGGGGTAGAAACAAGTGTTGATAATTCCATTCCTCTTGTTAACCTGTCAAGTAGTGGTTTTCAGGTCTTGAAGGAAGCTAATCGAGGAAACTCAACAAGTATCTTTGAGACGAATGGTAACTCCATTCATGAAGCGTGCTCGACTAACGAAAGCCCATGTCTGAACAGCTCAACGGTAGAAAGAAACAGTGGTCTGACTTCTTCATGGACAGAACTGTCATGTGCTTATTTACCCAATAATGCTTTATTGTCATCCAGTCTGATAGAAAACCCTTCCCTTGGAAACTGTGGTATTAATCAGGGTTTTACATCCGATCTTACAAGCACTGAGAGTGCAATTCAAGCACGTGGTGATTTCCCAGCTGAATTGTCGTCAGAGGGCAGCAGTTTTAGTGATAACCAATCTGTTGACGAACATACATTCTCACGTCAACCGCCACTTGGCGAGGAGCGACTATATACCCCTGACACAGCTCAGCAGCAATCTAATCAGCTGCCTTTGGCAGGGAATGCAAGAGATGCGATAGCTCAACAGCCCACAAGTCCCGGTTTGAATTACAGCCAGGCATCGTTTCCGTCACTACTGGCTAATCCACATGGAACTTTCTATCAAGGGTACCCCGCATTACCTCTGTTGAAACCATGCTACCCGTCTTTCGTTTTCTCCAGTCCTATTCGACCTGTGATAGCACCTCACCTGATGCAGCAACCGCATCCTCAAGAGGTTTTCATACCGCCACTCCAGTACAGAAATCAAATGATGTTCACCAACTTAGCCCCACCAAGCTTAGGCCTTCCACCTGTGCCTCAAGCCCAACTTCAGCCACAGTTATTTCCATTTTTTCAAGCTGCCACGGCCTTTCCGTGCTCTTCCAGGGTAAATCCTTACGAGCAGGCACAACAGGCAGCTGGTCCACCAGTTGATGTCAGTGGCCAACTGGTCTTTACTCATTCAGCAATTGCACTCTCCCAAGGTGGTCCTGTCGCTAGTGACTATCCAGTTCCCAAGATGGATTCTCGGGGCTCACACGGTAGTTTTGTGGATTTCAGTTCAGATACGTCTTCAATCGATGGTTCATTTGAGGGAGTGGTGACTTCGTTAGAAAATCACACAGATGACAATTTCAAATCTTTCCTTGATAAAGCAGATAACGACTTCGGTTACACAAGTACGGTAGCATACAGGGACAATCATAGAGAACCTGCAGAAGATTTCAAAGAAAAAAACCCACTAACTGGAAACACAAGTGATAGCCAGATATTTACGCTAGCACAACTTTGTCACATGAAGGTATCTGGAGGCAACATCAGCGCAAGCCAGCAACACTGCGAAAGTCAAGAGGACCCTGTGCATAAACAGGTTTTAGTTTTGTCACGTGAAGAGAGTGTGATGGAAATGGGAAGGCGACTGTCACCGGATGGAAGTAGCGTGGAGGGCGTTTGTCTCGATTCATCAAGCAATAATTTCAAAGACGAATTTTCTAAAGAAGCAAGTGCACCTCCAAGTGATTGGGACATTTTGTCAAAAGAATGTTGTGGCTCCACTCCTACTGGTGTGGAAGAACAGAAGAATGAAAATATTAAAGATACTGGCCCATTCCCCAAACCGCAGCGGATCAAAGGAAAACGTTCTCGGGGAGACATAGGTACCCGAGGGTCGTCTGTTCTAACCTCATCGCATAATGATCTTCACCCAGGAAGTGAGCAAGTGACAGTAACGTGTCTAATCATGAATGAACAATCTTCCACCTGTGAGAGTAATAACAACTCTCCTAAACTGGAAGATAGCGGTTTAAGCTGTGTCAACGATTGCAGTCTGCGTTTAAAAACAAGAAAAAATCATAGAAGAGTGCGATTTTCGAAGCAGGACTCTGCTCGATGTAGAGAAAGTTCTTCGTCGCTACAGCAGCCCTTCAAACAAAGTATGGGTGGACCAGCTAGTGACGTCTGGAAAAGAGGTCTTTCTAACAAGTTGCAGAGACCATTTAAGGAGAAGTCATCAAGGAAGGCAATCTTAGAGGATAAAGTAGCTCAAGCTGGTACAAAAACTGACAAGAACAATAACTCCTGACTGGAAAAGGTCTCGCTGCGGTTGAGATTGTAGCAGATAAGACGGATCGTCATCATAGCCTTCTCGTAGTTCAAAAGCACTAGTATGGCGGAATGTTTTTGTCAAGTAACGATTAAGTGTCATTCACTAAGCTTCGCTAAAAGGGTTAGATTAAATTTCTGTAGTGAATTGTTTAATAGTTAAGTTGAAAATGTGTGGCAATCTTTATTAATGATGGAGGCAGGTAGGCAACTTGTTAGGTAGGCAGGTGAGAAGGTAGGCTTTATTTCAAATGTAATAACAACGAAGGGACCAAACCGAATAATGATCAACGATGAACAAGCTATCGTTAGTTCCTGTTGAATTAATTGTTGTAAAAACTTACTTTGGATAACAATATGTGCATAGAAAATTCAGGTAATTACTTGTTTGGGCAAATTTTGAGCTTTTTTTTTGCTTTAGTTTGAGGATTTCCAAACTAAAAGTAGTTATTTTATTGATTTTAAGACTGTTACAATTTTCAGGGACATATTTTTATTTATTAGAAATATCATTTCTACCGAAATTAACATTTCAAGAATATTTTCCAAAATTGTTGAGGGGTAATTAACACCACGAAGTTACGGTGTCATCATGAGGCCAATACGCATGTCAAGCTACCATTCAGTGTATTAAAAGAAGAAACAAAGCAGAAAACCTCGAGCTTCTTTTCCAGTTGCTTTGTTGATTTGTGTCTACCCCTGATAAAGGTGCCATGGTCATGAGGACGCTGAAACGTCGAGGAATAAATTATAAGAACAAGAAAATACTGTCGCGTCAGTAATCCGTGGTGGTTATTGCAGTTGTGTTTGAATGACTTGTTTTATAGCTTATTATATTATAAACTTGTTTTAATAAAGTTGATGGTTTTCAAGGAATTGTGCGGCGTTCTACTTCATTCTGTACGTCTGTGACGATTCGGTGTATTGATTTCCTCTCAATAACTAATCTTCAGTTTCGTGTTCAGTTACAGTGTGAATACCTAACCAGGACGGCTTTGGTTTGCGAGTATCTTCGTCATGGTTAAGCTCTTCCCTTTTTATTATCGTTTAGCTGTGTTTTAAAAAACTGCTTTTTTTTTTTGAAAAGGCAAGTTTTAGGGTTTACATAATTCACCGATAATACAAGATTATTTGCACGCTTCATTCCGGAATAAATGGTTTTATTATTCAACTACACTTCGTAGAGCACAATAACGCCAAGACGAGCATAAATATCACGCGGTATTTGTACTCCAGAGAACCGGTTAGACAGGTTTTCTCGCATCGCGCAAGCGACGAATGGGAGTTACAAAAAAGAAATGGCGTACAATTCAAATTATTTTTTTGACGACGAAGATGTCGGAATGACTGGCGAATATTGATCCAAGTTTATTAGATAAACCGAACGCTGAAAGCAGTTAGACGACAATGAAATTTCATTATTTATTGAAGAAAATAGAAACAGAAACACGACAAAGCGCCAGTTCCGTTCCGCCTGGCATACTTCTGTCACACTCCCAGTAAATTAATATGCGAGATTCGACCGCACTGTAATAACAACTTGGCGTGATGGATAATAAATAACTTATTAGTCGTTTTGGTGTGTCGTATCACTGAGTGTTTTTACTCGTTATTTACATATACATATACATACATACGTTAGTTGACCACTCCCCACGGGGGCTTTTCAGGGCAAATTCCCACCCATCCCACCTCAAGGGAGGACATCCACAACACAGTATTCTCGTGCGTGGGAAATTAACGTCTCCTACCCCTAACCCTGCAGGAGACGGGGCCTACGGTTTATTCGTCCTTATCCGAGAAGACTAGAATATCTATCCATTTCTTGATTATAGAAAGGTAGCAAATTCTCCTCACTTATTTTAAGACCATGAGGGTCCGGCTGGGGCTCGAACCCTCGACCTCCCGCACAACACAATCCGGCGCTCTAACCAATTGAGCTAACCGGGAGGCGGTTATTTGTATTTTGACTCGCTCTACAGGCTCGTCAAAATACGGCACAACTCGTAAAAATACTCCGCGATACTAAAAACGTCCAGTAAGATATATATATACAATGACCCAGTCACTGACCTGCATGTACCGCTCTCCGCAAGTCCCGAAATGCAACGGGAAGCCTGACTTAGAGGGGAACCAATCATTTTTGCAAACGCTGGATTCGACTGCGATCTAGACGATCTTGTGTTCTGCGGTTTCCCACCGAAACTAAACGTGTCTTTACGAATATCATGGCTGCGCTACAAACATTTGTTTTGGTGTTTTTTTCCGTTATTTCTCCAGGCTTAGCAGATAAGGTACTTTCACTAAATGATGTTGAGTTTGAAGACAAAGTTTTTGGATCGTCCACGCATTTTGTGATGTTTTACGGCCCATGGTAAGTCGCAAAATTGACGTAAAAATTTGCGGTTACATCTATGTTCAACTCGTCACTTTGCAGGTCTTGATCCAATTTTCGTTGATCGTCTCCTGCGCAACTGCTTGTAACGCAGTCCATGTATTCATATATATAGTTGCATCATGATTTTGACACAATTTTGATAAAAGTAAATTATTTAATGCTTCGAAAAACCCACAAAACATTTTATGATTGCACGGTGTGCAAGTAGTCCTAAGTAGCGCTATTCTGGTTCTTCTAGAAATTTGTTTTTCTTTGGAAAATACTTCTCTTGATGTAGAAATTTAACACATACCAATTCCTAGTCCAGGTAGGTTGAAAAACAGGAAATTACATCCTGAGTGCTCCTGAAATATCCACTCAGAACAGATTTTGGGACACAAAATGTGTTCACAATCTCAGAGCGCTGTGGATTGTTTTAGGTGCGATGCTTGTTCCATTTGACATGGTTTTATGTTTTATACTGGCTTCAATTGTTATTTATCAGGTGTGAGTACTGTATGAGTTTCATGCCGATCTGGAATCAGTTAGCCAATCACTACAGTAGAATCCCTCACAGTGAACTTGTAACAATAGCTAAGGTGAGAAAAAAATAAACACAACTACTTTGTGTTTATCAAATGGCTTAGCTTCAGTTTTTCTTTTTATTTATTGTTTGAAATTTTTATGTAGAAATATAGATTTAAAAGAAGGCTCAAGGGTGGTATAAGGTTTTCTATCTAGGAAAGGTTTAATGGTATATTTCACTTCTGTTACAGCATATGTTATTTGTTTCAAATCTTCTCTGTTTATCATGTGGCCAATAAGGAAAAGGAGATATTTAGTGCATGACTGATAATGCAGTCAAACTTCAATTATTTGGACTTTTTGATTATCTGGATTTGTTTCTGTTATCCTGTTAACCTATACTATCATGAATATCTATTAGTCACAAGCAGATCTACTCAAACAATA